AAATATAGAAAGCCAATTAGAAATTATCTATAATCCTACCACTCAGAGATAACATTGAGGGCTACAGTCATAATAACAAAAGCATTAGCCATAAATATACCCCCAGCTTTTGAATGCTTAGGCCCTTTTGGTACCCTCACAATTGATCTTTGGGTCCAGAAACTATGACCCAAAACTTATAATCAATGAATCAGAATTTGGACAGATTTCTGCCCCAGATAACAAGCTCTTCTGGAAGCTTAGCTGACCCAGAAGTGCTCTTCATTCTGAGATTCTTGTGAAGGCTGGTGTGTTAGCCACCAACAGCTTCATTCATTCTGAAGCAAATTATGTCTGATGGATCCTCTTGGCTACTTTAGAGGTCAACATCATAGTTTACAAAGGCATACATGCAAATTTCTACTTTGGCAATGTTTTGGCTACTCCCTGATAGAGTGCAGGGTGTGCAAGCGTTTTCTGGGGCTCCCTTTTCTGGTCTGTAAGCCAGAAAACTAAGGATTTAGTTACCTCACTCTGCTGCATACTTCCTGCAACTGTGTTCATGCCAGGACCAGGCAGTTCAGAGAGAAAGAGAGAAAGTAGCAGTGTTGGTTTATCCCTTTCTCTTAGGGTCACAGTTGCTCTTATTTAGAATGAAAGTCTTCACTTATAATTTTAAGCACCTGGAGCCTTTGTCATTGCTGCTACCAGTGTAGGTCAATAGGCTAGAATAGAGTCCCAAAAGTTACATATATCCAAATATGTCCATATTCATACGTATCTATATCTATCTATCTATTACCAATTAATTTTTGATAAAAATGTAAAGGCAATCCAATAGAAAAAGATGGTCTTTTCAACAAATGGTGCTGGAACCACTAAACAATTTTAAATGCAAAAAGAATAATTAAAAACCTACAAGTAACCTAAACCTCAGATTTTATTTATTTATTTTTAAATATATTTTTATTGATTTCAGAGATGAAGGGATAGATAGATAAATAGATAGATAGATAGATAGATAGATAGATAGATAGATAGATAGATAAATGATGAGAAAGAATCACTGATTGGCCACCTCCTGCACACCTCCTATTGGGGATCAAGCCTGCAACCCCAGGCATGTGCCCTGACTGGGAATCAAACCCGGATCTCTTGGTTCATAGGTCAACACTCAACTACTGAGCTATGCTGGCCGGGCTAAACCTCACATTTTATACAAAAATTAACTCAAAGCAAGTCATAGATTTAAATGCAAAATGTAAAACGTTTGTTTCCAAAAGAAAACAAAGGAGGAAATATTCATGACCTGGGATTAAACAAAGAGTTCTTGAATGTAACACCAAACATACCAGTGTGGCAAAACTGCCTGAGTGCTTGGGTATAAAAAAATGAGGGGTGGGGTGGGGAGGTAGACAATTAAAAAAAGGGAGAATTTCCTGAATTTCTCTGAGCATTCAGAGTCCCTTTCTTTTCCTTAAGTAGGAGCCCACAGGGTCTCCTAGAGCTTCCTCTGTCTGCACCCACTGACTGAGTCAGGCTTTGTGCTGCCTGGAGTCCACACCAGGGTTTTTGGAGGAAAAACAAGAGCAGAGCTCACCACCAGTTTGATGGTATTTTAAATTCTTATCTTCTCCAATCTGCTGCTATCACTTACTTTTCAGAGTTTTCAAATAGCTACTTTACGAATTCTATACAGGTGTTTCCTTCTCATTCAACAGATGTATATTGATTGATACTCTGTGCCAAACACTCATGGAATACAAAAACATACCTCTTTAAAGGAAAAAAATTAATAATTTTAACTTTGTCAAAAGTTGAAACTTTTGCTCTATATAAGATATTGTTAAGAGAATGAAAAGACAATAGATATACTGCAATAAAAATATTCACATTCACAAAGCACATACTTAACAAATGACTCCAGAATACAGGGTGGGGCAAAAGTAGTTGTACAGTATGGAAAATAATACAATAATTAATAAAGAATAATACAAAAAAACTATATTTCATGTACTCACAACTGTATACCTACTTTTGCCCACCCCTGTATATGATAAATTTTCAAAATTCAACAGGAAGAAAACAAAACAGCTCCCCAATTGGTGAGACTTGAACAGGTACTTCATCAAAGAGTACAAAATAGAACACAAATAATCACATGTAAAGACACTCATTTTAGAATGATCAAATGATAAAAAAATGTTCAAATGCTGAAAAGTTTGAGTGTTAGCAGGGATGTGCAAAAACTGGAATTTGCATACATTTGTTGGTGGAAATGCAAAATGGGACAATCACTCTGGAAAACAGTCGGTTTCTTATGAAGTTAAGCACACACTTACCATATGATCCAGGAATCCCATTTCTAGGTGTTTAACCTAGGAAAATGAAAACTAATGTTTACACAAAACCCTTTCATCAATGTTTATGGAAGGCCTATCATAATTTCCCAGCACAGGAAATAACCCAGACGGAGATGTCCTTTAATGAGTAAATGGGTAAGTAAATGGAAACATTCATACAATGAAATGCTACTCAGCAGTAAGTAGGAAAAAATGATTGATGTATGCAACAACTTTGATAAATCCCAAATACATTATGGTCAGTTAAAGAAGCCAGTTGTAAAGGGTTATGTATTAGATACATACTGGAGTCCTGACTTTCATGAGGACCAAAGCAACATTAATGTGGATTGGTAAACATCGCTGAAAACAGCAAATAGCAGGGTGAAAGTGGGTCAAAGCTAAGTTACCATTGCCATAATATATAAAGACAGTACTCACTATTGTGCTTAGATTTTTCTCCATGTTCCTCGCTCTATTTGACAGTATTTTGCTATCTAATTTTAAAAGTTATACTCAAATTTAATAAAATTTTATTATATAATATTTCACCAGTTACATATAATATGTACTATTTAATATATCATATATAAATCTAAAATATTTTGGATTTAAAGTGGCCATACCTAGGTGTCTTGCCTGTGATACCCTTTCAAAACAAACAAAACAATTTACCTCACGATAGCATACATACCTGAAATAAGAAAAAAAGTGCCTCATTTAATTTACATACCACTAAGACTTAAACACAATACAAACGTAAAGAGTGATAGAAATATGGCACATATCACAAGCACTTCACTTGTTGATATTCTCAGTACTCTGAACTCTATAAATAATGCCACTGAAAGTAATGATCCCTGAGAGCCATTGCTTGGACTCGAGTTTTCTGAACAGGCCTTCTGTAGAACAGAGAATATACTCCAGCAATAACCTGCATTAAATTGGAAATTAAATGCTACCTTCTTATTGATTCTTTGATCATTCAATTTTAATGTCCATAAAGGTAGTGCTTTATTGTGCTTACCCCTAGATAGCAAGCACAGAACAGTCTCTGATGCAGAGCAAGTACAAAATAAATATTTTGAAATAAATATTTAATAAGTAAGTGTATATCTATAAGACTAGGGTTGAAAATAAGATTATATCACTTTGGCATATACCTAGATGTTAGACATTGAACAGTTCAATTTAGACCTGTATTCTTTCATTCATTCATTCTACCAACCAACCATTATATTTGGTTTCAGAATACTTTGTGCTAAGATCTGTGATCAGAGCAGGGAACACAAAGATTCATAAGAAGATATGGTCAATGATCTCAAAGTCTAGTGTGGGATACAAAGATATAGAGCTCATGTAATTGATACCAATTTACTAAACCTTTGAGAACTATGAGAACATCAATAGTGAACTCCTGTGAGGATGTAGCTAATTCTGACAGCCAGAATCAAGGACCAATTCTTTGAGAAGGCAATCATTCAACCAGGCCCTGAGAAATAGAAAGGATCATGATGGCCCTAACCAGTTTGGCTCAGTGGATAGAGCGTCGGCCTGCGGACTCAAGGGTCCCAGGTTCGATTCCAGTCGGGGTCATGTACCTTGGTTGTGGGCACATCCCCAGTAGGGAGTGTGCAGGAGGCAGCTGATCGATGTTTCTCTCTCATCGATGTTTCTAACTCTCTATCCCTCTCCCTTCCTCTCTGTAAAAAAA